GTCTCTAGGCCGATTTTTTTGCGTTGAGTTGACAGAGTAATTTGAGTTAAGGAGCTCCTTAACGAGCTCGGTCTCCGAACGAATTAAACTCGTAAATCAAGGCCCCACTGTATTTTGTTAATATTATAATTAATTTTAAAACATCTTTCCTCCAAAGAGATAAAACTATTGGAATTCAATGGAGTTCCAACTTTTGCAGTTTAAAAAAATAATCACTTTACTAGACCACTTCATGGCCAGTTTCCTTTTCTCCTCCATCCCTGGGCTTTCTTTACAGGAAACACTATCAATGCATTTTAATAATGAAGGAACTAAATAAAGGAATGCTAAGGAACAAGTCACAAGACCAAATTAACCACAAGTATTTGCGTGGCAATAGTGGTTGCATTCCTCTCCCCAGGTGGAGAGGAGCTGCACAGTGTGCCAGGGGACTGGGGAAGGGGGGAGGGGGAGGAACACTTTCTGAACCCTTTCTTCAGGTAAAAGCATTCCCAACAGGTGACCTAGTCTCCAGTAGGTGAACTTGAACTCATTTAGTATAAAACTGGAAGAGGAAGAAAAAGTTAAGGTCTCTGTACTGCAACGTTCTCTTTACACCTTAGTTAAAGGTTTAGATAAGTACCACAAAATGCGCTAATGAATGAGGGAGGAATAAGGAAGCGCCCATCGCGAAGGCAGTATTCCTAGTATTTCACCTTTTCCAGATTTTCGTCAGTGCAGACATCACTCACACACACACACACACACACACACACACACACACACACACACTTTATTTCCCTTTCCCTGCTCCTTGTCCACCTTTACAGGTAACAAAAGTCCTGTGTCTGCATTGGTTAGTGCTGGCTCAGCCGCAGGTGCGCTGGGGGAGGTTTTCGCCAGGCCGGCTCCCCGACAGCCCGCAGTCTGTCACCCCTGCTCTGGCTGGGGCCCACCGGGCTACGGAAATAAATCAATTTGGAATTAATGTAATGGACGCAGGTTCCCTAGCAGCCGGACTTCCCAGTCTCAAGGAACCGTCCTAAGAAACAGGCGGGTCTCTAAAAGTCTCTGCAAGCAGCTTCTCCCAGGACTACAGGTAGGAAAACTGAGCCCCTTGCCAACCCCCTCCCCCTAT